TGGCTGTGATCCTGCTACATTTAATGAATAACATTCTGTGACATACATACTGGTATGATTTAAACTGATCTCCCTGTCCCTACTTGAAACTGTGGTGGAACTGAGAGGGACTCTGCTCATCCTGAATTAATGGGTCTGCATTATTCTTGCCTGGCAAAAAACATGCCCTCTCCTAATCACTATATAATACATTATATGGGACAGGCATTTTGGACCAGGGGCCTTTGATGTAATTTATTGCCATAGAAAGATGCAAGGGAATGTTTACAATTTGTATAGTCTTCCTGGAAATAGCGCTCCTTTTTACTCAGTCTTTGAGATGGCGGTGGTTCTCCATGACATAAGCCAGAATTTGTGGCTTACTGTGAACAGGCAGCAACTGGCGAGGATAACTATTTTGCTACTCTTTGGGCCAGTGGTATAATTCATCTGGAAGGGAAAATTTAATCATGATGTCTGAACCAGCGATTGTCAGGATCCTCAAAACAGCCACAAACCTGGCTGAAACCTCTATGCCACTTGGAACAACACAGCTAGGCATTAAATCTTTATTATAACTCTGGAACAGTACCTATTACAAACAGCTGACAAGCACCGAATGCTGCAAGTCCTCTTAATTTAAATCCAGTGCCCTCTTTTCTACATCCCTACCCATATAACAGACGGGCTGCCTTCTGGTTCTCACAGGTTCTTATGCTCACTTGTTAGCATTTCTCACACACAACTGTATATAAACAGCTACTTGTTTACATTCTCCACACATTTGTCCTGAGACTATTTTGCCACTAGCAGACTCCTGACAGTGATGTTCTTTACTGATCTCAAGAAAGCCAGGATTCATAAGCTAAAAGCAGCTGTTAATATACATCAGTACAGTTGATAACTGAATAACTTTTCTAATTACATGGCCTATATTCACTTGACAGTTACTAATGATTATTTCACCTTTCTCACTCTTTCAGTTTCTTCACTTAGGTCTGAAACTGAAACTCAATCCTTAGTTTTTGTGCTAGTTCAAATTCAGCCTTAAACTATTTTTTTAAAATAACTGTTAAAAAAAAAAGTCTTTAAATTGGAGAGAAGAGGCTGAGGGAAAGAGATAGAGAAGAGGAAATAACTGGAAAACTGATAAAGCTGGGATATATTAACAATCTCACTCTGTATCTCACCTTAAGGGGACAAGGCTGAAAAATAATGAAAAGCTTCCTAAAAAAAAAAAAAAGTTTTCCCAAAGCCTTTTATTTTATAATCTCTTTCTGATTCAGGGGTGTTAATCTACAAGAAAATTAAGGTTGTTAGTAAGGAAAGTAGGTACTGATGGGAAACTTTTTAAAAATATGCTAGTGCAGAGAAGATCAGAAGTACCAAAAGACTATTCTGACCATTGTAACATACTGAGAATGAGAAAAAAGGGAAGCAAGCAAGCTTCTATTGTAATGGCCTGAATACAGCAGTCCTCTTGTAATCCATTGCTAATTTGCCCCCGGAGGTGTGAGTGGCCCCCTCACTCCTGGCCTTCCGAAGGGCCTTGAAGACCTGGCTCTGTCACTTGGCCTG